CTCTCCTACAACAAAACTAAAGGATGTTCAATATTTTGCCACTAGATTTTAAGGTCAATGTAGTTTTTTTTTAACTCAAAATCTTTGGTGGGAAGGAGCTGTTGAAACTTGCAGTGCATCATTTTTTTATTGATTCTTTTGTCATGTTTGGAACCTCATCCTCTGGTTTAGATAAATGTATCTTTTTGGTTTTTTTTTTTCTCAATTGATTTTTGCTACCAGGTTTGCCATTTGCCGAGTCACTTTTGAGTTCTGATTCCAGCTACCAAAACTTAAAGATTTGGTGAAAAGCATATTCTGTATTTGCAACTAGGTTGCTGTTTCTGTTCTTTTTCCCGTCAGTCCCCCTTTATTTATTTATTTTGTCCTCATTGACATTCAATTATAAACCCGCTTTAAATTTGATTAGAACTAATCATTATATATATACTAACAACTAAAGTTTCGAAGAAAATTTTATCTTTTCCTCCAAGTATGTTAAAACCAATTTGTAAATCACGTAAGTTTCCATTTTCTGTCAGTTTAAGATCGACAAACGGACGTTTCCAAGTCCCAATGCACTTGCCTGATGATGTTTTCAAGGAAGCCAACAAAGAAATTGGGAAGTCCCAAATGTGAAATATCCAAAGCCTTGAGTATGTATGTATATGGTATCTGAAAAAATGACTTAATAACCATTTGCATTTGAATACTTCAAAAACAAGTCAAAGGTAAACAACGAACTTTCCGCTTGTTTCTTGGCTTCATATTAGTGAAAGTCACTCTTTCAAAATTCACAAGGTTGAGAGAGTTCACATCTGCTCCTAAAACTTGAAAAGAAAAAGAAACAAGTCTTTTTACTTGAAAGGTAATTTGCTTACATTCATCTATGTTCTTCCTTTGTCTTTTTTTTTTTTTAATTTCTATAGAAATGCCTACTTTCTGATTAATGCATTGCATTTTGTTTGGCACCTAAGAAACGTAAGGGATGGGAAATAAATAAATAAATAAATAAAAAGAAAAAGAAAGGAAAGAAATAGTTTTCTATGAAAGTGCTAAATAAACACTATATAAATTATTTATTTTGAAACTTTAATGGTCACTTTTTCAGTATTACTTAGGAGATTGGGATTAAGGAAATGAGTTATAAATATTAATATTTAAATCTCAAATCAATCGGATATTATTTTTTGAAATGATTGTATGAATCAATTAAATTAAATTACTTATTGGGTTTGTTTTAATTTGTGAGGGAGCAAGAGAGCTGAATCTAATGTAACCAAAGAAGTCAAACAATTTTTTTTTTATACTTTCAACCTTAAGGTTGTAGTTTTCATTCAATTAACTTCTTTTATGCAGTATTTTTATAGTATTCATAAAACAATTGCACTTATTGAGATTAAAAGGCTAGTTTGTGTTGGCTTCTCTTAGAGTAGTAGGCATTTTGGCGGATTCCTAATATTCTACTGCATTTTCTTGATCCAATATTCTGATTTCGTTTTAGGAAATGGCATGGCGTCGAAGTTCCAACAGCTGCAAAAAAAGGCTGCTCAAGTTTCTCAGTTTGTGGCCAAGAATGGAGGTTCTTACAACAAGGAGTTGATGGAGAAAACCAAGCGATATATCCAGGAACCATCTAGCATAGAGACATACTAATTATTAGCAAATCAATTGTTTTATACTCGAATTGCCAGGTACCTTTGGATTAAAATGTTATTTTTTACCAGTGTAAGTGTTAATTTTGATCCATTGGTCAAAAAAAGTGTTGGTATTGGATAAATTTGTAGCAGTGACATCCTATGTTGGTATTTGATAAATTCTAGGATCCCTTGAACTTCTGGTCATTTAAGAGAAACAGAAGCAACAATGATATTTATTGGTAACTTGGTATTCAATTATAAATACTAGGTCTTGAAACAGAGATCGGTTCTGTGTTTTAGATTGCTGATATGAATTAAGGTCTTTAATCCTTTCTTGTTAATTGCCTCTTTTTTTCTTTTTTTCTAGTAAACCAAATTTGTAGATCCAAGGCATAATTCGACTATGTATGATTTCCAGGTTTAAAATCCATTGTGTTTTCTTCAAAACAACTTGTTTAAAGTAAGATCATATGTTATGATTTTCAGCATCCAACCCTTAGAAATATTATTGCCTATTGACTAATAAATGGTCTGATTTCCTTCAGTTTGACTGGATATCACCAATTGGTGATGATCCTGTACTATAAGTTAGCGAGTGTGGGAGAGTTCATCAAAATTTCTATTAGGTTCCAATGGAACAAATGCTAGGTAACAATAACCTTTGTAGTTGCAGATAGGACAGGTTTCATCTCTTTTGGGTGCAGAAGGTGAAAATGAAGCTCGTTCAGTTTGCTTGGAAAGGCCTAAAAACTTGTTAAAATGGTGCAAAATGAGGCTTTGTTCATTAACAAAGTCTTATTATCCTTTACTTATTTATGACTGAAGTGCCAAGTTCCATTTGTGACAGTAAATTTGGATAAACAATCCAACGGTCGTTCGCTCACCTCTTTGATGTTCTACATGATGTCTATGCAGTATTCCTAGACGACACGAGGCATCCTGGAAAGAGCTTGACTCCCTCAAACAATTTTTAAAGACCAAGGAAGCATGGTATGGAGCATTGAAAATTCTACCATGGCTGCTCTGATTGGAGTTGAATGCTTTGCCTGGTTCTTCGGTGGGGAGATCATTACTGGCACAATAAGATTATTTCTGTTAACGTTTTCGCCGCCATCTTAGGTGACGGAGCCAACCCTCGCTCCTCCGGCGGCTGTCATAACTTTATCTTACTGATGTATGAGATATTTTTATTTTTAAAAATAAATAAATAAATAACAAAATAAAACCCTAATAAACAAGCAATCAATCCGGACGATCGATTTCAGGACCAGGACGCCATTCGAAGCCGTGTTACATTCAGGAAAGACACGGACAGGACCTCTTGGGCCCCATATCATGCTTACTGGGCCCTACTTCCCATAATGCTCTCTCGTGCCACAGTCCCTTTCTCCAATCATTTTCTACACTCACCTACTTATGCAATCCTATCGGTCCACGTCTCCATTCGCCTAATCATAGCCGTTCAATATTAATATTTTGATATGGGCCCTAGTACCAATAATCTTTCCATTTTCTTATTTTCTTAAGAGTCCATATTTTCGGTTTGAATAAAAATGACTTGAAAATTGATGTTTTTTTTTGGTGTATATGAATATATATCATTGTTAAAAATGTCAAAGAAAATGTTTTTAATTAAAAAGAGTAGAAATTTTATTTTTTTAATAAATTATAAGTTTAACATATTATTGTTAATTGTAAATAAACAAAATTATGACATAAATAGAAAAAAAAATTATTACATGTTAATATCACTAAAAAATGGATGGAATAATTAATAAATTTATATCATATTTATTTTATATTAGATATATATAAAATACAAAAATTTTCATAATATAATTTATATTAATATATAATATATAATATATTTTTTAAATTTTTATCAAATTCATATAATATTTTATATTATTTTTATATATTTTTCATATAATGTGAATTTTTTTAACAGTGAAGAATTAAATTTGAGATTGTGAATACCTTGTCTTTTTTAACCTTAACCGACGTGACTACAACATTTTACTTTGCCACTCAGTAAAAAGGGACTTTTACCAATGTCGGTGCAGGACTCGTTGGCAACACTGACAGACCGATAAAGTACGAATTAAATGAGCCCAACTCGCACGCTTTCACATTCCCTTCTCCGGATTTAGCTGTTACCGTAACACCTCACCGCCCCACGCAGCCCCGAAGTGCTCTCAATCGGTCGTCGGGTTTCGCCACGTGTTGCCGGTGACGTTTGCAACTGCACGGGATGACGGCACCTTAACGCTAAAATGCCTACATTCACGACTCTGCTACATGCATGGGACATAATAAACGGCCCTCACAGGTAGAACTTGCTTTATATGAACGCAGGCTTCGGAGAGTTGGCTTTTCTCTTTTTTTTTTGTTTTGGCTTGGCTTGGCTTAGTTGGCTCACTTGATAAATTATTGCTAATTTACTTTACATCTATTGTTGAACATCGTGCTTTAAACTTGTGCTCTTACAATACTATTACATTTTTTTTTTTTTTTAAATATATCAATAACAGGTCTGACCAATTTTTAATTTTATTGATAAAATTTAAAAAAAAAATTAAATGAAGATTTTATTTAAAGTAAAAAGAAAAAAACTACATAAAAAATAAAAAATAAACTACAACAATTTTAAAATTCACTAATAAAGCATTAAATAATTTCTCAAATATGATAATTAAATTTATGAATAAATCAAATATCTAAAAAAATGTATTATTTTCCCTATTTATTTAAAGAGTTGGATTATACATATCGCTCACTTTCCTTCATTTAATTGGCATTTAATTAGGCTTTCCCAAATTTATTTCTTTGTTTTCTTATTTCATTTTCATTATTATTTGGGTATTAAAAACATCTTTTTTAATTAAATAGCGTATTAAATGTGCCATTTTGTTGCTCTTAGATTAAAAATTATCGTAATTAAATCTTAATTATTAAAATTAAAATTTTAATGTTTTATCAATAAATCGGTGATTGATTAAGTTGTTTACTCCATAATTTTATATAGCTTGAGGTGTTTATATGTTTTTTTTGGAATATTTATAATAAATATTGATTAATTATTTGATTGGTAAATATTTGTCTTTTGCTTTTTACTGTTTTAAATTTCTAATTTAAGTGCATACTTTGATAAATCTTTATGTAAAGAGAAAAATAAACAATTCTTTTTTTTACTATACAATTTCATTATCAAATTAATCATACGGTCAAAGTTAATGAAAATGAACTCAACACTTAATTCGAATAAATCATGCAATTATTTTTAAAATTTTATATTTAATATATCTAAAATTTAATTATAAATACTTTAATTTTTTTATTTTGAAATTATGACTTTTTTAATAAAAAAAAATGAATGAAAGCAAAATCATTCTGGTTGACATTCCTTCCTCTCTCCAACCCATAAAATTTTTGTAAAAAGAATAGAAAAATCAGTCCACGATCACCCATGTAAAACAAGATCACTAGCAACATTTCCAAAGGGATCTTGCCATAACAATATTCAAGGGTACTGTTCTCGAACATTTTTCGATAAAGAGCTTTGGGATTACTTTTAATTAATTAATAGATTAATTGATTTTTTTTTTTTTTTGTTGTGGGGTCTGTCCAGAAAGAAAAGAAAACAAGCTTCGCTTGCTCGAGCCAATCTCAAATCCCAGCGAGAGAGAGAGAGAGCGGTGTCTGGTCTGCCTTTCTATTTGAAGGCAAGTGATTATTTTCACGCGGAGAGACACAAGGATTTCTTCTTTCCACATCGATCTTTCAAACTTTGAATTCCTTATGTTATGTAAACAAGACCAACTTTGACAAATACAGGTGGTGTTTTTCTCCTTTCTCCTATAGGTTTCCTTGATTCAAAGCTGGTCAGAGTTCAAATCTAACGTAGTCGTTTCTTCTGGCTTTGGCTTTGGTTTCTGGTTTTCAGCTTTTGATGGAGGTTGAATGTTTTTGCTTTTGGTAAAAGAGTTCATGTGTTTGAATATCTCCTAAAACAAAAATATCGTTCCTTTTTGTCTTGTTTTTAGTTTCACCACCTTGGCCTTCTTCGATTCCTTGAAACGAAAACACCGCTTTCAGATCCCCAAGGCTCAAACTGAATCCAATTTTCTCCAAAGAAACAAAAGTTTATCATTAAATTCAATCAAAAAAGTGATGCTTTTGAGCTTAAAAGCTATGTCCTTTTGATCCTCCAAAATCCAAAAAAGTAATCCTTTGTACTCGTTTCGAGGTCACAAGAATTAATCGAAATGCAAGACCCTACGGGTTTTCAACAAATGAAAAGACCGGCTTTTCCAGAGCAAGAGCAGCTAAAATGCCCGCGATGTGACTCAACCGACACTAAATTCTGTTACTACAACAACTACAACTTGTCTCAGCCCCGCCATTTCTGCAAGAACTGCCGACGTTACTGGACCAAAGGCGGCGCCCTTCGTAACATCCCCGTTGGTGGCGGTACGCGCAAGAACACCAAACGCTCTTCCTCGTCCTTCTCCTCCACCAACAATTCCAAACGCCAGCCCAACCCCTCTCCTGAGCCAACCCCAAAGCAAAAACTTCCTGATCCCTCTCCACCGTCGGCCGCAACACCATCGACGATTCCCCTGCAGGTTATTTTGAACTCAGGGATTCAGAATTCGTGTTCAGAACTCAGGGGTTCTGAGGCCGAACAGACCCGGATGCCTGTCTCGTCGGTTGATCATCAAGATAGGAAAATGTTGGACACCGGTGGGAGCTTTAGCTCGCTGTTGGGGTCGAATGGGCAGTTTTGGAACCTTCTAGAAGGGTTGAATCAAAATGGGTCGGGTTTGAGAACGGTACAAACGGGTGATTTTGGAGGGAATTTGGATTCGGATCGTGAAATGGATAAGGGTTCGGTTCGGGATCCGGGATTAGGAGAGAGCAATAATAACGGGGAGCGTGATTTGGGTGGTGGTGGCGGTAGCAATGGATGGCCTGATCTTGCTATGTACACTCCAGGTTCTTCAAGTTTTCAGTAGAGAAATCTAGAGATAGAAACTATATTTTTTTCCCTCTTTTTTTTTTTTTTTTTAATCTACCTTTTGTATAATTGTGCTTATCATGGTAAATAAAATCTGAAGTTGTGAAGATAATTGCATGATTTTGTAGTACTTAATGATGCTATCAGGTAGCATTCGATCATTGGAATATAAAATAAGTATATTTTATATTTAATTCGATGATAAGTATATGTATTTTTATATTAAAAAAATTGAGTTTGAATTATAAAAAAAATGTTGGGGATGCCAATGCTATAAATTATAGCATTCAATTCATACGGAGGTTTTTTCTTCCTTGTTGTGTGGTTGTAAATGTTTAACGAATTATGATAGAAGAAAAAAATATTAAGGAAAAAGGTTTTTTTTTTTAATTACAAGTATTATAAAAATTACAATTATTTTTATAAGAAATTATTAAATTAAATTATTTAAATAAATTAATATATAATTAAATAAATTTACTATAAAATTAAGTTAAATTCACATATAATAAATTTTGAACTCAAATTTTTTAAGTTTTTTAAATTTTTTTAACTATTAAACCAAGGCTTTATTGGTTTTTTTTCCATTTTTGAAGTGTTGTGTGGAGGAATTTGACTGTATATAGTTTTTTTTTTTTTGTGTGTGTGTTTTAAATATTTGTGTTTGTTAGTATGCCATCGATGAGGAAAAGATTTGACACATTTTAGCTGTTTATGAATATGGTGGAGTGGGGGAAGATATGGGAAGTCCAATGTCCATAGTTCAAGGCTTCAAGCCCTATATGTTTTATTTTAGTTTATATATATATATATTTTTCTTTCCAGCGCTAGACAAAATTGAACTCTCACCTTCACTAGGATATTATTTGTTATTTCAATGTCCCCTTTTCTTTTTGCAACTTGTCAAGATTCAATATTTATTTTGAGAGCACATTGGTTTTTGCTTTTTAAAGTTTTCTTGTAGTGTTTGACAACATATCTTAGATTTCAACTGGAGCATGCAATGGACATTTATCTTGCAAGGTAAACAATTAAATTGGATGTATCATTTACTTAAAAGACTTTGTTTGTTAATATTTTTGTTATTATATTTTATTATTTTTTAAAAAATAAATAAATAATAAAATATAACATTTGAATCTCACATTAAAATATTATAAAAATCTATTATATTGTATATATAAATTTATATTTATACTTATAACATACTTTTATTAAAAATAAAATCTTAAAATATTTAATTAAAACAAATAATATTTTCAAAGCGAATCTCCGCACAAAAATAAAATAAACGATGAAGGCATCAACTATGAATCTTAAATTAGTGATATCGGTTGAGACTAAGTTGACTTTAAGATTTTTGGGAGAGACATTTTAACATTTTGAAATTAACATCATATCAAACTTTAATAACATGCCTTTTTTTTTTTTTTTTAGACTTTAAAAAAGTTACAGTGGTGCCAATGAAACTTATTAATCATTGGTACATTTCACGCACTTATAAAGCTTTACTATTCACGAGAGCAACGCCTATGATACTGAAAAAATGTTGCTTTAAGAAAAAAAAATTTACATTTGATATATTATTTTCATCAAATTAAAGAAAAGATATAATACATTAATTACATAAACAATCATGAAAAAACCAATTACAAAAGGAGAAATGCTAAAGTATTTGATGGTATAATATTTATATAGGCTAAATATTTATAAATTTGTTATATTTAACATTTTTTTAGTAATCTAATTATCCGACCGTCAAATAGAGGGATTATTCATTTTACTCAAAAAAATAAAAAAAATAAATATTTTAGCTAGAAAGTTAAATCACATATGAGGTGTAGAAAACCACAATATGCTTTCCTTTCATGCTAGTCGCATGTTGTTTTTATAGTAGTAAATGTCGAACTTATAAGTTAATTTAATTAAGTTTATATAATTATTTTTAAAATTAATATTTAATAAATATAAAATTTCAAATCAAAATATTTAAATTTTTTTTATTTTCTAACTACGATATCTTTTATATATATAAAAAAAAAAAAACATAAATGTCAAAATAGTTCATAGCACTAGGTTATTTTTGATAAGGCGCCTATTCACACACACGAAGGGACGTTCAAATTTCAACCCAATTTGGTATAGCCTATTTATCTCTAGCTAGCCAGCTAGGATCCTAATTTGGCAAGGACGGCTACTAGCTATAACCAAAGAAAGAAATGGAAGATTTAGAGGAATCAATCTAATGTGAGTAATTGATGTGATGGTTTTTCAACCAAAGGAGTTGAATTGAATCATCAAATGCTGCTCTTTCTATTTGTTGCCCTTATGGGCCACCCACTATGACGCGTTGAGAAATATTTTTTGGACCACCCTCTTGGTTTAACATTTGTCATATGCAACCAAGGCACATATTTCAGGGCAACCCCTAATCCTTTTGACAAAAATGGAGAAATTAGGCCCCCAAGAAAAATCTTCTTGCATTATATGTAGTCGAGGAGGTGGACCCAAATGGGAAAAAAATCAATGCCTGAAAATCAACTTTCTAACAAAAATGGAGGGTTTTTGAGAAATTGCATTATCCCCATTGGAGGCAAGAAAAGAATGATGTTTGGTGCTGGTCCACATACATTGTTGTTGCAATTGTCAACTTTGCAATTGTCAACTTGGAATCCTACTTGATGCCCTTGAGTTCAAGTTTCTTTTAGGACCATGCCAGATCAAATGAAAAAAAAAAATGAAAGTACTGACAACCAAACAACCGGTAAAATACTTGAACTCTTAATTTCAATCTTTGGAATTTAAATTCTAATAATCTCAAATATTAAATAAAAACATATGGGGAGAAATCAAGCCAGGGCCCAAGATAACCCACCAACATTTTAGGCAAACTGCCTACTCTCCATCTATTCTTCCACCTCCCCCACCTTCATTTTGACACCCTTGATCAAAATCATATAAAAAGAAATACCATTATGTTATTTCAAATTCAATCAATTTAAAACACACCCTTAAAACTAAATGTATGTGACAATGTATAGAAGTAGACAATTCTGTAAAATCTATTTGGCCATTTCACGGTTCTCAAAATACTAAGAAGGTTCCGGTTCAATGCGAAACAAAATCAAAAGTACATTTCATAACAAAACAAGTTTACATTAAAACGGTACGAGCCTTGTAAATGCAGATGTATGCCATGTGCCAATCACCTAAAACCCAAAAAAATTACTGGTTAAAAGATGAAAATCGTAGAAAATAATAGTCTACCAATGTGCATGTTAATTATAAACAGTAAACCAATGATACGAATTGCCAATTCGAAACATTAGTGTTTGCTTGTATAGAGTATAAACCGGCTTATGAGCAAGAGCAAGTGAACAACAGAGCTAGAAGGGTTAAGAGTTTATATAAAAAGTCAGGTTTAGATTACCTCCTCCAGACAGTTTAACAATGTCTTCCTCCCGCTGTGGGATAGGGTTATCATCATCAAACTCAATCCATTTCCCTATGATCAGTGTCAATTATTTATTAGTACAACAATAAATACATAAGCTAAATATCAGAGAAACACAGTCCCAAACAAACTATTTCACGGAACTTACCACTTTCTTGCTTCACCCAAGCAACATAATGCCCTGAATCAGCACTTCGACCTTTGTGGGTCAGCACAGCAACCAAACCATAAATCCCAGTTAAACGTGTTTCCTTGTCAGAAGGAACCCCTGGAAAACGAAGTGAGAGATTAATCTGTCAAAGTGTCTGAATATTTCATTCATTACTTGAGAAATACAACTATATATTCACAGAGAACACAAATGGTGTAAAATTTGACTTTAATTATGACCTTCAAGAGCCTCCCTACAAGGAATTAGAAAATTGTTAAACATAGCAGCTTGATAACAATATGATGCTAGGAAATTTATCCCTGTAAAATGGGCTTTAAAAACTTCAAAATTTTATTCATCAGAATTCAGATATTCAATTATATAAAAGAGGAAAACTGCAATTGTTGCAACCAATTGATAATATATATCTGGATAATAAACTGCAAACATGTACTCGTGTAACCAGTTTAGGGCAACAAATGATCAGGTCATAGAGGGTTTTTACCTTCTTGAGATATAGTCACAGATGATTCTCCACTTGCATTTGATGAACCCTGCATGCATAACATAGAAAAACAGTATCAAGCACAACTACTCAGGATTGCTATTCATGTCTGCACTTACAGCTAAATCATCTAGTCACCTCGGCATCAGTCATCTTGACATCATCATCTTTTGAGCCAGAGCTCTTCTCATTAGCTTTCAAACCAAGCCTTTTACCTTCCTCATCCCTCAGAACCTAAAAGTTGCATGTCACGAAAAAGTTGGTCAACTATTGCAAACTAAAATTTAGTTATTTATCAAAACAAGGCAGAAATGGTTACCTGGCGAGGACCTTCCAATTGCTTACGAAGTTCATCCGAGCATAGATCATAAACATCCAACTCTAGTGGATAATCCACTTTCTGAAAGGGGAAATGCAAATCATGTAATGCGATCAAATTGGTAGCTCAACACATAGATACAGAATTGTTCAATAAATATTTGTTTATGAAAACATGTATGCCAAGTCAGAGAATAAAATTTACATACCCGCAATATCTTGGCCTTTTGATTTGACTCCCTCTTCCAGAAAAAACGTACGAATTGAATAGTCAAGTACCTTCACAATTCACCCAAAAATAAAAAAAGAGTTAACAGAACATTCTTTCCTTCAAAAGGATGGATGAAAGCATGGATGGCATGAAGCATCAAAATAGCAAATGGAATCTACATCGATGAAGTGACATCAGAAAGAAAATGTCACATGATATTTTAGCAGACTACAGTAAAACATATATACATATATATATACATATATATATATATATATATATATATATATAGAGAGAGAGAGAGAGAAAGGACAATAAGAAGCCATTAGTTACCTTGGCAAGCCATTAATTCGGGACTCTTTCAAGTAAACTGCACTGCGCCCCAAGGCAGGAGAAGCCTTTTCCAATTCTGATTTCAAGCCCTACATATAGAAACCTTATTAATCATGTTCACTATCAATGGATTAAGAACAAGATTCTTCATTCGATTACTGATGAAACTACAAAAGGGTGAATAATAATAGAGTAGGATAAACTCCTCATTGGAGAATGCTAGGTTAAAATAATTTCGATATCTTAAATTTGTTATTCAAATTTTTATTTAAAAAAAAAAAGTAAAGCGTATTACAAGTCCAATCAGCAGCAAGAGGGCACTGAACACATTAACTGCCCCAAACTAATCTTTTTCATTCAGCCACAAAGTTAACAAGTAGG